GAGCGGGATACGATACGTGAGATAGGTGAATGGCGTGGAATCTGGGGATTGAGGCGAAGGATTGGGGCGATGGGGCATAGTGGCCGCAGGCGGGGTGGAGGAGGGGCACACAGCTGTGTGGACGCGGCCGTGCAGCCTGTTGGCACAGCGTTGTTCAGCGAGGGAGGGGGTGGCCAAGAACAGGCTGGTTCATGCACGTGATGCAAGCTGGCTGAAGCAGGCGAGACACAGCTTAAAGGGAGACAAATGGCCGCTTCAATTCTCAAGGTTGCGGCGCGCCGCCTCCAAACCCCCCCCTACTGCCTGGGCGCAACTCCCCACCCCGCCTGGTGTACGTGCCGCCTTTCCCACGCGCACACCCACCGGTCCCTCCCCCCCCCAAAACACAGACTTCTTTACGACCGCCATTCACTCGCGCTTCGAGTACCTGATAGCTGCCATGGTGGCTGTGTACGGGGCCGCCTTCTTTGGCTGGGCCCTGATTTATTACGTCACGTGGAGGTGGGGGGGGCTCCTCATGCTGTTCCTGGCGCTTCTCGGGGCCGTTGGGGGCCGACGCTGTAGAGTGACAGCGGCTGGCCCGCCGACGCGGGCGATTGACCCGTTTGTAAGAACAATACCTCTGGCGCGCCGCGCCGTGCCTCACGTTGCTCGGGGCTCCGCACGCCCCTTCTCGTCCGCCACGGGCCCCCCTCTCACACGCGCGCCAATGGCTGCCGCACCCCTGCTCCCCTTTTCGCACGCCGCGCGGCGCCCCAGGTGGGACGGCACCTGCTTCGTTGGTTTCAGCAGTTTCCAGTCAGCTGTGCTGTTCTCCATCGAGACGATGTTCACGATTGGGTGAGGGGCTCCCCTCGGGCTGGTGATGCTTAAGTGCTGCAGCAAAGTGAGGGGAAATGTTGTGAGGGAGCAGCCGCGCCAGTCGGGTGCTGGCAGGCGGGGTTGAGCCTGGAGCGAGGGGCAGGCGCGCCAATGCGGCGCTGGCGCCGGGGCGGAGGGGCGCGTCGCGTGCGCTAATGAGCGGCCACGCACGTGGCCCGCAGCCCACAAGGCATCACAGCTGTTCAGCTGTGGCCTGGTTGCCGGCCAGCACCGGCATGCCCCTCCTTCCCCCGCCCTGCCCCCACCGACCCCGCCGCGGCCCACGGCCACCCGCCGCCGCAGGTACGGCACCCATGCCATCGGCGACTGCTGGCTGCCGGCCGCGCTGGTGGGGGCGCACTGCCTGCTGGGCCTCCTCATGGAGAGCGTCTTCATCGGCATCGTGTTTGCCAAGATCAGCCACCCAAAGGCAGGTGCATGACGTCATCGCCGCTGGCGGCGGCAGCGATCGGTTTTGGGTTTCGCGGGGAGCTCTTGCCTTGGCTGCGCTCTCAGGAGAGAGTCTGTGACGGGATGGACGCCAGGTGGCGCGGGGATCAGGATTAGGATTAGGAGTGTTACAGGGGGGCCGCCGGCGACGCTGCTGCCGCAAGGGCCGCGTGAGGCGTCGGCGCACTGCATCGGTTTCCGCGACGGTGTGTGGCGGACTTAATTCATCGTCGGCACCCCCGCCCCCCCAACTCCGGGACCCTGACCCCAGGGCCGCAGCCGCACCATCATTATCAGCGAGTGCGCCTGCATCGCGCGCCGCGACGGCATCCTCAAGCTGTGGGTGCCGCCGCCGCCGCCGCCGCCGCCGCCGCCGCCGCTGCCGCCGCCTACGCCGCCGCAAGGACCGCTCCCCCGCATGGCTTGAGGCGCCAGCTGCCGAGCGGCGGGGGCTGCCCTGTGTGCATTGCTTGCGGGTCAGGGTGCTTGGCGCTATCCTGTCTCCACCGTGGTCCTACTCGTGCTGTCTCCTACTCGTGCTGATTCGCCTGTCAGTGACTTTCCTCCCGCACCCCTGCTGCTCTCTCTGCGCCGCAGCATGTTCCGCGTCGCCGACATACGAAAACGAACGGTGCGGCGGCGCCGCAACGCAGCCCGCCCCCACGCCGCGTCCGACATGAGCAGGCGTCCTGCTCACCGCCGCTGCCCGCTCGAGCTGCGTATTACCTTGCTCGTGACCGTTGCGCCCTCATCTCGACCGCGCCGCCCCTCTCATTATAAAGCAGCGTGTGCGCCGCTGCATGGTCAACGGACATGCATCACGCTCTCCCGCCCGTCCCTCAACTAACCCCAGGCCATCTCCCCGGCGATCAAGGCGGTGCTGTACACCTGGCACCCAGGGCGCCGCACCGCGGAGGGCGAGGAGGTCGGGCTGTCAGTGCAGGTGCGCACGCGGGCGCATCGTCTGCACCGGCCCGTCCGCCGTTCATGCGGCCCCGTTGCGCCGCCAAGGCGGCCGAGCACCCATCTGGCGCCCTCCCAGCCAGGCTGCCCGTACCCTCTTGCGCATCCATGATCCCATGCCATCCCTCGTACTCCCCTCCCACCTCCCCGTCGAACCCCCTTGTCTCACCCTCTGACAACCTTGTTCATTCCCTTCGTCTGCCCTGCCCCCCTAAAACATCAACATAAAATTATTGGTCGGGGCCTGCCCACCAGCCCCCTGCCCCTGCCTACCCCTG